GGAAATCCTGACACTCTGAACAGACCTGAAGTCCTATTCAGATGTCAGTGCTCCCATACAGAACAAGAAAAGAGCAGGAAGTGGATGACAAGTAGCCCCTTCCCTGGTGTCCATGCTCTCTGTGTAAATATCTTTACACAGTAAAGTCACTACAAGCAGTAGTCACTGGTGCTTACTGGGACTGATAGGGCAAAAGGCAGGGAGACCAATGCTAGGTGGAACCAGAGTCAGTGACAGGCTGACCTTACCCCACCCTCAGCTTGTTGTAGGTAAGAAGGCAGGCAAGTGGAGGAGGGCTTACAGTAGACAAAGGTTGATGGGACTGTGTCCCATTTGCCCTAACGGACAAACCCTAAACATAAACTTTTCCTCCCTGCATATATTTTTGCTCTCTGTTTGTAGGGCCACTCTTAACCACGAGGCAGAGTGAGACAGCTGTCTCAGGCAGCAGATGACATGGTTTGGAGAGCAGTGCCAATGTATTAGAGTAGGGGTGGGGGAGCCTCTGGTCCACTGGTCTAATTAGGCACAGCATGTGCCCCAATTTGGCCCCTGTGGCCTTGTTACCCAAACAATGTCCATTTGCCCCATACTGGAAGTCATATGGAAGTTGACAGGAGTTGTAGTTCACAACATCTGGAGGGGCACTGTATACAGGTGGGGCTGGAGGCAACTTTCAGCCATTTTAGAAGTGAGTGTGATGAGTTTTCAGTTTCTTATAACTCGTGTTTAAAAAATCTTAATTATTCCAAGGTTCTGACCACTTGCTATTCCCCTGTATTCATCTTTACCCCATGCCATTGTGTGGAGCTAGCACTCTTCTTCGTTACCATGCTTCTGATTATCCAAGAATTAATGATGTCCCAGGACAATTCTGAGAAATGACATTGTCTTAAAAGCTACAAGCACAAATTTTCTTACAAAACATACAGACAACAGCATATGGTGTTTTGTTTTTTTCCAAAAGACCTTCTGAAAACTGGGATAATGCTGGTGGATTTCCTGTAAACACAGTATAAGGCAAGTTGTTTCGATTATAATCTGCCTTTTTTGTGTCTCTTTTTATGTGTCTTCCAATCAAATCTGCTTATAGATCCAACCTACGGATCCAATTTCCATGCTTCAGTGTTGGCGTTGCATACGAAGTTGAAGAGTTCCCGTTCCGGGTGTCCGCTGGTCCCCTGCCCAGCAGTATGGCACAGCAGCTGGTAACCAGCTGTCCTATAACAATTCAGTTCCATAAGCCTGAGCCATAAATGATCCAGCTTGGCTCTCAGCTGCCTTTATACTAAGAGCACTTAGCAACCAACATGATACAGATGCTAACATCATATTTCTTTTGGTTTCTCTCTCTCACCTTCTCTAGTGCTTCCCTTGGTCTCTTTTTCCATTCTATTCTCCTTCCCAGTGAGATATCCAAGAAGAGAGTAATCCAGTCTTACTTTCTCTCTCTGACAAATGTACAGAGACGGAGAGAGGTGTTGAATTCATTCATTGCTATGTCAAAGCCACTGGCAATATCCTCCTTGAGCTGGGATGGGGTCGGTGGCCTCCTTGACCAGAGATGATCATTAATCACTCGCCGTCTGTAGTTGTGGGAAGGGAAAGCAGCAGCCACAAGGCAAGAAAATTTTCACTCTCCCAAACAGCTGCAAATAAGGCAAACTGAACCTTCAAACTGCTGTTGATACGTACTCCCACAAGGCAATTATATATCAAATCCAATTATATATCCAATCTATTCTTCTAAGTATCAACCTTGAACAAACAAAAGAAGCACGAATGCATCTAAGAAGTCTGGGTCAGACAAAAGGGTCGTCCATTCTTGCATTCTGTTTCCGAAGGGGTCAACCAGATGCCTATGGGAAGTAGACCCAATGAAATGAATGAACCTTAGTCAGTCACGTATGTTACATTCAACGGGTCTACTCTCTGAGTAGGACTGACACTGTATACCGCCCCATGTCTCAGCATAGGTAGTGGCAAGACTTTGGGCAGAGGTCCAGGCCACTGCCCAAACACAGTAGGGTGTGTTTACCTTATCGCCACCCCATAAAGGGAGATAAAGATAAAGGGACCCCTGACCATTAGGTCCAGTCGTGGCCGACTCTGAGGTTGCAGCACTCATCTCGCTTTATTGGCCGAGGGAGCCGGCGTACAGCTTCCGGGTCATGTGGCCAGCATGACTAAGTCGCTTCTGGCGAACCAGAGCAGTGCACGGAAACACTGTTTACCTTCCCGCTGGAGCGGTACCTATTTATCTACTTCTACTTTGACGTGCTTTTGAACTGCTAGGTTGGCAGGAGCAGGGACTGAGCAATGGGAGCTCACCCCGTCGCAGGGATTCAAACTGCAAGTCCTAGGCTCTGTGGTTTAACCCACAGCGCCACCCGCCTCCTAATAAAGGGAGATAACCACCCCATAAAACCATTCAAGCCACACCTGGCAATTTTTTTTTCTTTTTTACAAAACTAATATTATGCAGGCTCCCTGTCCTCTTTTGCATCTGGTGACCCTAGTCTAGAGTATAAAATTATCTTACTGCAGCATTGAATGTTGTTGTTGTTGTTTATTAAATTTTGAATATAAGCAGCACTGGAGGGGACAAGCACCAACACCTTGAAAAGGAGTTCTTTACCTCTATCTCACACCCCAGTTCATAGAACAGGCTTCCTCGACCTCGGCCCTCCAGATGTTTTTGGCCTACAACTCCCATGATCCCTAGCTAGCAGGACCAGTGGTCAGGAATGATGGGAAATGTAGTCTCAAAACATCTGGAGGGCCGAGTTTGAGGAAGCCTGTCATAGAACCATAGAATCATAGCACTATTGACAGCTCTGACCCTCAAAAAGTTATTCCTGATGTTTAGTTGGAACCCCCTTTCTTGTAACTTGAAGCCATTGGTTTGGGTCTTACCCACCGGAGCAGGGGAAAATAAGCTTGCTCTACCTGACTCCATTCACCATCAAATAATAAACATGTATTCCATTACTGCAGATGCCATCTCATTAGGCAGTCCTTTCCATGCAGTGAAGGAATTGGGCCTTTCGTGTGGCAACACGTACTCTTTGGAACTTTCTCCGATTGCATATTAGACAGGTACCGCTTCTACAGTGGTAACTCGGTTCCCGAACGCCTCCATTGTCATACGTTTTGGTTCTCAAATGCCAAAACCACGGAAGTAAATGCTTCTGTTTTCAAACGTTTTTCAGAACTCAAACATGCAACGCGGCTTCTGCTGAATGCAAGAAGCTCTTGCAACCAATGCAAAGTCGTGCCTTGGTGTTCGAATGTTTCAGAAGCCAAACGGTCTCCCAGAACCGATTACATTCAAGAACTGAGGTACCACTGCAATATCTTTTTGATGCCTGTTGAAGACCATCCTTTTCCAACAAGTCTTTTAAGTGGAGCTCTTCTTCTTCTTCTAGATTGAATCTGCATTAGACTTAGACTTTTTTAATATATGCTTTTATTGGGATGTTTTATGGGAGGTGATTAATAAATTAAACGAACAAAAAAACACCTTTTATAGAGATATGCTGGTAGCGCAGCCAGAAACAACACAGAATTTCTGAGAGTCACAAGGAGAGTTTGTGATTCTTCTCACCTCACACATGCTACATACACACGAACAGCATTATAATGAAGAATTAAAGTCCTGCAGGGGCTGAACAGACCCAGTTAACAACATCGTTAAACAGCCCATATAAAGCTGGGTCATGAATTGTTTTCTAATACAGGCAGCAATACCTCAGTATGAATGTTTGAGTCAGGGCCCCACAAACCGAAAACTATCCTGACTGATTCTAGAACATTCTATTCTGCCTTTTGCTAATGGGTGCTGAAGTCTTTGCTTTACAGCAGAGGTGCAGGAGCCAGGCCTGTGGAGACAGCTTGAGGCAGCTTCTCATCTACCACAGAAACCAGACTTCTCTTTAAAGAAGAATTCCACACACACCCCCTACAAAGTTTCAAAAAGATTTTTTTTAAAAAACACACATACAAACACACATGTTTACATTAAACCATAATCAATATCAATACCTTTATGGGGTTCCCTGAACCCCCAGACTTCCCTTCACCTCTCCCTTGGCTTCCAAAATTTATCTTCCTATTTTAACTGCATCTAATTGTATTTATCCAAATTATTGTACTTAGTTTTTATTCTTTGTTGTTTTAAATTACAAGTGCTATGTCAATCCTGCTAACGTTTTTAGATTTTTACAGTGTTCTTTAATATAGAAACCAGACTTCTCAGTGCAGAAGTTTAGTAATGAAAATCACAATGCATATAATAACAATTTCCTGGGATATAATTTATGGAACTCCCTTTGTTTTTTAAACTTATCTTTGTCAGATTCCCTGACTCTCCTCTTCAGTGTGTTTCTCCCTCTCTCTCTTCCCCCGCTCCTTCAGATGTACGGTATTTGGCGAAAATTTCAAGAAAACAAATTCGAGCAAGAACATCAGTACAAGAAGCATTAAAGTGCAATTTATAAGAACAGCATAAATGCAGCCTGCCTGGGTGCAGGGTCTTCAACCCAGGCCCTCATTTGGGTGCTGTGGGGTGCAACCATCTGAGAGGCAGTGGGTTATTACAGAAAAAGAGATGAGTTAGTGATTGCTCCTTATTCATGGAATGCTACCCCTTGGGAGTCTTAATGTGATTTGGGCATCAGACAAATGGCTTTTTTATTCTCCTAGCTTCTGAAATCCTCTGTATGCTGCTTTGAAGATGCTTGCAGTTTGTTTAAATGCTGCTGGCAGCAGCCGGTCATAGCCCTTGGTCTCTTGGTAAAGCCTCCTCCCGCCAGCACCAGATGGAGTTCTGCCCTCTTCCCATCTTCTCCCAAGAAACCCCTGATCCAAGCTACTCTTCTCCATCCGTCTGCTCGCCCCCACACTTATCCAGACCTCTGCTTTTTAAAAGAAGAACATTCTCCCCTTGTGACATCACACCCACATTACCCTGGTAACCTCCATTTCACAGACCCAAGCATCTTCCTTTGATGGTCCATCAACATCATGCTTAACGACTTCCATCCCAGGTGATACCCTGGTCTGGCAGTCAAACTCAACTTGCATTTTTTACACTGCAAAGCTGTCTCTCTCCCTGGTGAAGACTCCAAACATTTAGCAATTCCTAACATTTATGAAACCTGGTCCCTCAATTCTGTAACAATATTATTATTATTATTATTATTACTGCTTTATTAATTGCCTTCTAAACAATCATCTCAATGCAGTTTACACATCTTTAGTGGCTTTTAATTATCTTTAAAGCCATGAAAAGCACAAAACCAACAAACACTTTTAAAATAACTGTAGAACCAAACGAAATAGACGATTGTGGTAAAGACCCATTTTCATTGTGAAAGTTGTGCTTTTAATTCACCCCATTTCTCTAAAACCTCCCAACTTCTGAGCGCGTTCTATTTTCATGCTTATTCATGGCCATTTTTCTGCTTATTGGCTGCTTTATGGCTTCTTTCTCCTACATTGAGTGATCCCAGCCCATCAGGGACCACATAACATTTTAAATTGTTTTTTAAGATGTTCCTAATTGTTCTTCAATGTCCCTAATTGCTTTTCAATGTTCTTAATTGTTTTTCAGTGTTTTCAATGTGTTTTTATTTTTTTAATTGCTTTGTTTTACTACTTCACTGTTTGCTGCCCTGGGCTCCTTTGGGAAGAAAGGGTGGAATGTACATTTTTAACATAGCAATAGTAGTACAACACTACAGGCACTCCCCACCCCCAACTTACGCTCATTCTATTTGTGCACAACCTCGTATATGCACAGCTTCAGGAAATAATTTAATAATCTTCATTCACACTTGGAAATAGCAGGAGAGAACAGGAGAGTCCTCATGGCTCGCGAGGAGACCCTCCCCGGAGCCCAAAGAGGACATCAGTGAGGACGGAGGAAGCTGTGACTTCAGAGACCAGAGGTGCAGCGGGGCTTTGTTTATGCTGCTCAGCCTCCCTGCCAAACAGGTGATGTGCGGGGTAGTAAAAAAAAGGTAGCGCACCACCAGCAGTCACTTTCCCATGCATCCTCCAGCCTCCTGCCACTTCGCTTCTAGGTAAAGGTAAAGGGACCCCTGACCATTAGGTCCAGTCGTGACCGACTCTGGGGTTGCGGCGCTCATCTCGCTTTATTGGCCGAGGGAGATACAGCTTCCAGGTCATGTGGCCAGCATGACTCTGGCGAACCAGAGCAGCGCACGGAAACGCCGCTTACCTTCCCGCCGGAGCAGTACCCATTTATCTACTTGCACTTTGACGTGCTTTCAAACTGCTAGGTTGGCAGGAGCAGGGACCGAGCAACAGAAGCTCACCTGATTGCGGGGATTCGATCCACCGACCTTCTGATCGGCAAGTCCTAGGCTCTGTGGTTTAACCCACAGTGCCACCCACGTCCCTAGGTGTGGATATTTTTGGATATAATGTTTTTGGTATTGGTCGAAGACAGAGTGGCAGAGAGGGCATTTGAAGGTTGTTTCGAGGGTGTTTCTCATTTTACGGAATCTCACTTATGTGCGCGGGGACCTGGAATGTAACCCCCGTGTGATAATGTGGAGCTGTATTCAATATGCAGGTCCTTCTAAACCACTGAGCCTCTTGGGCTTGCCGATCAGAAGGTCGGTGGTTCGAATCCCTGCGACAGAGTGAGCTCCCATTGCTCTGTCCCAGCTCCTGCCAACCTAGCAGTTTAAAAGCACACCAGTGCAAGTAGATAAATAGGTACCCCTCCGACGGGAAGGTAAATGGCATTTCTGTGTGCTCTGGTTTCTGCCACTGTGTTCCGTTGCGCCAGTAGCAATTTAGTCATGCTGGCCACATGACCCGGAAAGCTGTCTGTGGACAAACGCAGGCTCCCTCAGCCTGAAAGTGAGGTGAGCTCCGCAACCCCATAGTCACCTTTGACTGGACTTAACCGTCCATGGGTCCTTTACCTTTTACCTACTCTGAGTAGACCCACTGACATTAATGAACACGACTAACTTAGGTTACTTAATGGGTTTACTCTGAGCAGAACTGGTATCAGATACAAGCCATGCTGCTGCATCGGCAGTCAGATTTGTCCATATTTGAGCACCACTGAAGCCAAATAATGTTGATTTAGAGTGAGGTCAATATTCCGGGTCCAGTTGCATAGGATTGCTGTTAGTTGGGAGGGGAAAGGACACAACAGGCTTACAGTGCAGTAGATTTCAATTAAATGCACATAGAATTGCAGACTTAAACTGGTTTACAATATTACAGTTTCTGTTTTAGCATGGGAGGGGGGAACATACGTATTTCCATTTCCTAAAAGTAGGGAAATCACTTTATATTTTTACACCTAGCTTCAGACCTGGCTCAAGGTTTAATTCAGATACCTAACTGCGAAAATTCTGGCTGTTCCATTGTGTAATTGCTGTGGTTTTAGTTCGTGATAGTTTCAAAGTAAAAAAAAAAAGGAGGTGGGGGAGGGGAAAAATAAAATCCCACACTTTTTCTTCTTATTTACACGGATGCAACCCCAGTGAGGCCAGAGGGGTTTGGCAGCACTGAGAGCAGAAGTCCAGTCTAGAAACATCCACTGGCGCTTGATCTTTCTTGAATGTGATTAATCCTTGGAAAAGACTAACTGACATAGGCATCAATAACTACAGTAACTTGTTATGGCTGCCTCATTCCAGGAGGATTACATGCCTGAGCACTCCTTAAAACATCTAATGAATGTCATTTTGTTTTTATTTTCAGTGTTCATGCGAGTGAAGGGCTAATCGAGGTGTCTAGAATCGTGGTGTGAGCAGGCAGGCACAGTACAAAGCTTCCCACAGGAAACCTGTGGCTGACATACCTCAGACTTGACCTGAAATACCCTCCTGCTGCTCAAGATCATCACCCCACCCCCATCCACAGGACTTGTGGCGTACACCTGCACTTCACTAGGCATCCCCATACACCTCCAGGCATAGCTTTGCAAACATAAGGGCTAGAAACTTGGCCATTTATTTAAAATGCAAACTGCAATTTGCAGGCAACTGGATTTTGTGTCCAGTTCCACGTGGTGTGCAGAGCCCTTGCAAATGCTCCAGTCAAATGCTCACTAAGGTCACATCCACATGATACTGTTATAGATGGGGGGGAAGGACCCCCACCTTAAACCCTTGTTGTTGTTTAGTTGTTTAGTCGTGTCCGACTCTTTGTGACCCCATGAACCAGAGCACGCCAGGCACTCCTGTCTTCCACTGCCTCCCACAGTTTGGTCAAACTCATGCTGGTAGCTTTGAGAACACTGTCCAACCATCTCGTCCTCTGTTGTCCCCTTCTCCTTGTGCCCTCCATCTTTCCCAACATCAGGGTCTTTTCCAGGGAGTCTTCTCTTCTCATGAAGTGGTCAAAGTATTGGAGTCTCAGCTTCAGGATCTGTCCTTCCAGTGATCACTCAGGGCTGATTTCCTTAAGAATGGATAGGTTTGATCTTCTTGCAGTCCATGGGACTCTCAAGAGTCTCCCCCAGCACCATAATTCAAAAGCATCAATTCTTCGGTGATCAGCCTTCTTGATGGTCCAGCTCTCACTTAAACCCTAGAAATTAATAAAAGGTAGGGTTTTTATTATTGGGGTGTGAAGGGAGAAATGCAAGCTGCAGAGGAATTCCTGAGCTAGACGATGCAAAATGGCCACCTGGCCAAGATAGGGCCATTAAGAAACAATACGGGGTCATTGAGAGCCATCGGCAATGCAAGAGAACTGTCCTCCCCCCTTGCCCTAAGGTGTGAACAGAGACTGGGGGTTTGGAAGGTTGCCAGGGTAACTGGGTGTGAGGTGACAGGAAAGGAGAGTTCTGGGAAGAAGAAAGTAGAGAGACTGGGATCCATCTTGGGCAGGCTGGCTGCAGGCTGGATGGGAGAGATGCCTTGGAATCCAGGGCTGCCCTGCTGTGGGATACAAGCCCCTCTTGAAATGAGCATGCTGTAAGATCTGGACTCCCTCCATGCAGACTGAAAGTGTAAATAGGTGAAGCTATGGCAGTCTCCACCATGTCTCAATTCTCCAAAGGAACACACACCCCGGGTGAGTGCCTGGAACCCCCTGGGATCTTGCCATCACTTGGCAGAGAGTGAGGGTGGCACTCAACTTTTGTAATACATTTAAAACACACTTAAAGTTTTCCCCAAAGAATCCTGCATTTCTGCATGGATCTGCCCCTTTCTCCATGCTTCCAACCAATACCAGCTGGTGAAATTTACAGAGCATGCACACAAACTACCCAGCAGAGCAGGACTGTTGTAATTGTCCAGTCACAAGGAATTTGATGCACAGTTGCTCAGTTGCTTATGCATTTGTTACACATCACTTTTGCTTCCCTTGCACTTTTTCTTTTCTTTTTAAAATAACAGCTAAGCAGGACTTGGAAGCCATCACCCCTCCATTTCCCCATTGCAGTGGGCCAAGCAGCGAGTTTGGGGCTGTGTGTCAAAGGAGGGAGAGATGGCTTGTCTAGTGGTATCACAAAATATTGAGCCATACAGACTGTGAAAGGAGGGGAGAAATTTTCTCCTGGACAGCAAGCCTAGCTGCTGGCGAATGTGTATTTTATTTATTTAAGTATTTATGAACCTCATTTTCATATAACATATTGCAAGGTGGTATACAAACTAAAAACACGGCGTGAGAGTAAAAAGACCCAAAAATGTCAAACGCATCAGCAAGGTATGGCTGGCAAAGGATCCCAGGTTTGGAAGGTCTGTCTGAAGAATAGAGTTTTTGAAATACACTTAAAAGTGAGCAGGCATGGCTCTTGCCAAACCTCTACTGGCAAGAAGATCCACAAGGCAGGGCTTGCCACATGAAAGGTTCAGCTCCCACTAAAGGTCAGTCAAACGCCAGGGTTATCCAACAGCACACCATCAAAAGACCTCACCTATTAAGATGGTGCATAAGGAATTTGGCAGTCCTCCAGGTACTCTGGACCCAAGATGTTTATGGTTAACACACTCCATTCCCTTCTCCCACTGTCTTCTCACTTTTACAAAGTTAATACCAGCAGATCCCTACAGGAGGTGGCAGTGCCATCCCACCAGTTGCTTGAGAGGAGCACAGCCAGTTCTTGTTTCTACAAGGTCCCTGGGAGGGAGAAGGGGAAGAGAAGTTGCAGGGCCACCCTGTTTCATTCCAAGAGCATTTGATGCCTCATCTGTTTCATTATGAACTTCTCAAGTGACTCAGCAGGGATGTGAAACTGCCAGGATTTATTTTTTTTAAAGCAGCTCTGAGACTTGCACACCAACAGAAAGCCCAGCAACAAATCCCAAGCTAGGCTTTCTGGTGGTGCCGTTCTGGAAATGAAATGCCTCTGACGTGCCCAGATGTGCTAAAACGAAACGAAAGGGGTTATGGTAGAACTGCACATCCCCAAGAAATGTCACATAACACATATTTCAGGTGGCATGGGCAGCACAGGGTGCCAAGCCAAGGAGATGCAAAATCAAGAAAATGCATCATTTGCAGACATCAAATTTTGTGCCATATTATGAAAGAGTACCAAAGTCCACCCCTGGATAACGTATCAGAAACAAGCCATCTCCAAAAATTGAATAGTTCTGCTTTGAAACAGCCATACCTTTGGAGTTCGCACATCAATATTGGTCTCAAAAAGACTAGTTGGGTTTTTCCTAATAAGAGAAAATCTTCATTAACAAGATGGGAAAGTTGGGATGTGTGCGACTCTCCCCAAAAATGAGTGCCTGGGACACTGAAAATATGGGTGAATGTCAGATGTGGAAGTGCCTAGAGTACGTGTGAATTCCACAGGAAGCTGAAATATTGTCATGTAGGATGTATTATTTAAGAAGCCTTTGCTGCCTTGTGCCTCTTGAATAGGACCGTTACTCTTTCTCATCCAATTTGACATGGATCCAGCAGTTCATAATACTCCAAAGCATCTCTCAGTCTTTGCCCAGGCATCCTATATTAATAAACCAAGCCTAAAACCAACATATTCCACCCAGTGAGTCTGCTCTCATTGTCTCTGGTGCCACTCTGCTGTAGGCTGGATTTTTCAGGCTTCTTTGCCAAGATCATTCCTAGGCAGTCACACAGATATACTGCTAGTGCTTGGAAGCAGAATCTTGGTCAGCTCCAGAGGCCAGTTCTGTTAAGGATCACTTCCACATAGCTCAGATGGTGGCGATAGGAAGTCCTATTTCAGTCTGTTCCCAATCCATGCTGCAAAGGAAGAGCATTCCCACTGCACTTCAAGATGCAGTCTAAAGGGGGGGGGGAATCTCAAGATCACCCAGAAAGGAGAAATGGTAAATATTAGCCTGCTGGATTCAACAAACTGGTGGATTCATCCACCCCTGATCCTAAACATGTGTGTTCAGAGGGCTGGTTGAGGATAGCATTTTCCCAAGTAGTATAGTCTTCTCACAGGGCAGTACCACTTCCATATTTACCTGGGCAGTTGATTGTTTAAAAGCACCCTTTTGTGAAAATTTCAACCCCACACTCAAAATTAACACCCTGGAGACAATGTTTGTGTATTGGACTTCTCTTGCAGATGTTATGTTTTGATCCAAGGTGAAGCTTCCATGCAAAGGCCTTGAGTGTACAAATGATATCTGGCAGTGCAGTCCTGTGAGTGGACTGAACCATGTCAGATGGTGAACATTTGAATTGGACATAATGGAACTCACTTATGTGTGATCTGTGGCATCTAGTTGACATCCGAAAAACACTACTTTCATCCTTTTTCTGCATCATATAAGGTGGGATGCCACTGAGAAAATGTGTTCTCAAACTTGGTCATAGCTGAGCACCCCCCCCCCCTGCTCAAAGCAGCGCTGTGCCAAAAATTCCTCCACTGTTTGTTTTGTAACCATTCTCCATCAGTTCATGAGAAAAGAAGACATAGTATAAAGATTGTCCGCCTCAACCCAGTATACCTGAAGGAGCGTCTCCACCCCCATCGTTCTACCCGGACACTGAGGTCTCCAGCGCCGAGGGCCTTCTGGCAGTTCCCTCACTGCGAGAAGTGAAGTTACAGGGAACCAGGCAGAGGGCCTTCTCGGTAGTGGCGCCCGCCCTGTGGAACACCCTCCCATCAGATGTCAAGGAAATAAACAACTATCTGACTCTTAGAAGACATCTGAAGGCAGTCATGTTTAGGGAAGTTTTTAATGCTTGATGTTTTATTGTATTTTTAATATTTTGTTGGAAGCCGCTCAGAGTCGCTGGAGAAACCAGCCAGATGGGCAGGGTATAAATTATTATTATTATTATTATTATTATTATTATTATTATTATTAATCAGGCCCATGCCCCATCTACTTCAGCATCCTGTTCTGACAGTGGCTGACCGGATGCCTATGGGAAGCTGGGGGCCTGAGCACAACAGCACTCTCCCAGCTTGTGAGTCTCAGTAATGGGTGTTCAGAGGCATACTGCCTGACAGTGAAGATGGAAGGTAGTGATTGAGGCTAGTAGCCCTTGAAAAGGCATTCAGAATGAACAAGGAGTGGGGGTGGGGGCTCAGTGAACTTTTCTTGGGTGGGGTGCAGGGCTTCTGCTGTGCTTACCTTACTTTTGCAAAGGAAGAGAGCTTCTGAGAAATTTGCAGAATTAAATTGTAGCAGCATTAGTTTAAAGTTCCTGCAACTGTACCTTAGAGCATCTGCAGATGGAGGCATTTGCAAGCATCAGGAATGCTAATCTGGCACCCAAGGCAAACTCAGACAGTGACGGTGGCAATCCCACTGCTGTTCACACCTTCTCCAGGAGGAGTTCAACTGGTGTACAGCAGCTATTGCACAAAACCAGCAATAGTAGCACTAACGTCCTGCGCCAGAAGTATGTATCTAGAAGCACATTTCCCCACTTCCTGTTTAGCTATTTGCATGTGGTGATTCAGGGAAAAGGCGGACAAATGATGTCCTTCTTGTCCCCGGGATTGGGGGCGGGGAGCGCGATTCAAGATGGTACATGCTAAATATAGAAAGTAAGAAAATATGTTTTAAAATGACTGTCTGAGCATGCACATGCTATATAGATGAGGCAAGAAAAAAAGAGAAAAGGTTTTACAAAGCACCAGAGCTATTTGGATAATAAATATTGGAAATAATAATAATAATAATAATAATAATAATAATAATAAATTTTATGTACTATTCTCATAGTCTGTTTTTGTTTACTCTGTATATTATTTACGTCATTAATGTATCTCTCTTTAATTTTTTTGTTATTATACTTTGACTGGCTTGTACTTTGGCAATAATGAAAATGCTATGCTGGGGCATAGCTGTCAACCTTCCCTTTTTTTGTGGGAAATTCCCTTATTTCAGTGCCATTTCCCACTGCTTCCCGCTGCTATCCCGGATTGTTAGACTGCCTCCGGGACAGGTGAGGCTGCTGATCCCTTATTTTCAAATCTGAAAGTTGACAGCTATGTGCTGGGGGAGCACCTGATCTGATCAACAAGGGCTTTTAAGAGCACTGGCAGAACTAACAAGAACAGCACATGGAAGTTAGAGGCTAAAGTTCTTGGCTTGCTCTGTGGGAATGAAGGGCTAGATGGCCTGGGATGGGTGGCACAGAAGGATCAAATAGTTTCACAGTCAAAACCAATTTGTGCAGCCCATTCGATTCTACTTTCTCCAAGTCCCTCACTCCCACCCAACCCTCTAAAAGCTGTGCAGCAAGCAAGGCTTCTTTTTTATGTGTTTCCAGCTTCAGGCCACCTGAGTTCCAGCTGCCTCAAACAGCCTTTTAAATCTTTCCACTATATACCAAGTTGATGTTGCAGCGGAATATTTGAATAGCTTACGCTTTCCTGCCAAGAGCATTCACCTGGCCTGCTTTTCTTAAGCCGATACTCAGCTCTACAGCCAATACTTGTTCATATTAGTTCTCTCTGGGCTCCTAGTCCTATGACCTGATCAGCAACATTTACTGTTTGTACAGTACAGAAAACATTACAAGCAGCTAGACAGTCTAGATTATTAGTCCTCTGTTAAGCTATAGTGAACCTCAGTAAGTTTGCCACAGATGTTCAAGTTAATGTGAAGCATAGATGTCATCAACCTTTTTGGTCCTGCGAGTGCCAGTCACAAAATGGCTGCCACAGAGGCATGGCACAGCACAAAATGGCTGCTAGGTGCGGGACATAACATCAATCCATAGCTCTGCCTTCCCTGGACTTCTTTGTCCTCAAACAGCTAGAGGCTAGCTCTGATGTGGACTTTCTAGATCAACATTCTACAATAGAGGAAACATTATACCCATGATGTCCTGAAATGAAGAGGAACAACAAGAACAACAAGAATAACATTATTACAGGATGCTGTAATGTGTTGTGTTAAGGGACCATGATGTTCTGGGAAAGAGGGGAATCCTGCTGGTTCAAATGTAATTAATCTGTCTCTTGATAATGATACCAACTCTGTGACCAGCAATGGAAATAATGAACCCAACAGGTCACACCATTTGGTATGCAAGTCTTTGCCATGAGGCACACAGTTTCCAAAGTGAACTTCCCTGAGAATTTCTAATCCCTTCTGTGGTCACTGCACTACTTCTGATAGAAGACATCATGCTGTGAGACCAAAGTGGATCAGAATCCTGTACAGACAGACCAGTCTTATGGATTAAGATGGATTCCCACTTTGTTCAATGGGATTTGCTGCTCAAATGACTTGATAAAGTCCATGGCTAGCCACAGAGTGGGTATTCCTTTCAGATGAATTGCTCTTGAGCCATGTAAATATGCATAGATTCTCAGGCTTAGAAGAATGGTGCAGTGAGAATTATTCAAAGGATTCAGTACAAAACAAATGTTTGAATGAAGATCTTGACTAGAAGTTACAAGTGGCATGGAGCTGCCTTTCCACCCTCCTCCTTGTAACATAAAGATAAAAGATTGGATCCAGATGGGTAAGTTAGCTGAACTTAGGTTCCATGGAAATCAAGCACATTAGTCAAAATGTGTACACTAGCTCATGTAGGTCCCATTATGTGCTGGTCCCGTGGGATAACCGTGAGGCGAGGTCTGAGTCCAGTCGGAGGTTGAGAGTGCAGTATGGAGGCAGTCTGTCAAAGCTGAAGCTGGGTCCAAGGCAGGGAGTTGGGTGAGGTCAGGAGCTCCGGCAGAAGAGCAGGACAGGGTGCAGGCAGGAACAAGCTACTAACAATATTGCTCCTGCAACCTGGGACTGGGGCTGGCTGGCTTTTATCTGCCCCGAGGCATAGGGCGGCCCCGGTCCACAGGTGACTCACCTCTCCTGGCCTGGAGGCGAGCACTCCTTCTGCGGGAACTTAGTTCCGTCCGCCTCTCTGCCCCGAGCCTCTGCAGCTCAGGAGAGGCTGGAGGGTTACCGGACCCAGAGGCAACCTCAGCTTCCCCTGACGGGGCTGAGAGTGGAGCACCTGCAGGCAATGGGTCCTCCATCACCTCAGGAGCCAGAGCAGACTCAGCTGGTGCCTGCACCTGAGGATCCAGCACAGGTGAGGAACCTTCAGGCTCAGGCCCCAGCCCCGACTCAGCTGGTTCTGGAGGCGGGGAATCCTGTGCAGGCTGGAATTCCTCAGGTTCAGCCTCCGAGTCCGAATCCCAGGCCATCACACATTATGAACAAAGTCATAATGAGAACTAAGTTCATTTACTTTACAGAGCAATCCATACCCTACCCCTTACACCATGCTGCAGGGGGGCTGGATTAGGTACCCCTCCACCCCACTCTCCTGGCTTACCTGGCCATCTCTCAACCACCAAATGTGTGGGTGGCAGACCCATTGGGCCACCAACAGAAGCCAGTGAAAATCCCCAAAACAGGGTGAGGCTGAGCCAGCCTGAGATTTGCTGGGTCCCAAGCCAGTTTCACTGCCATTGCATGACAACATCTGGCCCAGTATAAACTCTGGGTGCAGCAATCAGGTCCAGATTGGTCCTGATCATCCTGTTGCCTTCTTCCATGGCTCCCTTGGGTGAAGATGCAAGAGTGGCCCTGTCACTCCACAAAACCCTACTGGAGGGGAGGCGACATTGGATTGCATGCCTAGTCTGGATCCATTGGATCATAGTATGTCACTTTCTGCCTTTGCTTCCCATCCCTGGCTGTTGCAAGTATAGGGGTAAGATAATGAGCAGCACAAAATTTATTGTAAGATCAAATTAAGCCCTGGGAGAACCTGTTTCTTAGTAGCTGTTTTAGGGGCATCATTATGATGACCTCTCTCTCTCCAGATACTTGACCTGTATCCTTAAGTGTGAGGCTGCCTGCAAAGATTCTACCCAAACTATGCCCCATGGGGCAACTCCTTTCTGACCCTCATTTATTATAAAGCCCCAGAGTAGCTCCAGATTTTCCTATTAATCTGGAATCTCTTTGCTGCTGCTGATGCTCAGCCTCATATTTCAAATTCCTCCTGAGCGTATCTGGTTCTCATTTAAACATATTGCACTTGCAGGGTTCTTTTGAAGGGGGGGAGCACAAAGTAGAAAAAACCCAGGAATGGATTTTAAGCTAATAAATGGAACATGCAAGTCCAGTAGTTCAGGCTCATCCAATGCACTTTAGTTAAGTCCAGACACTTGTTTACATTGGCTAGACATACGTAAAGTATCATTGGACATGGCCATCATTCTTGTACAATATGTATATAATGTACACATGCACTGTCAGGAACTACAGAGATTCCATGAGTTATAAAGTCTTCCTTGCTAAAGGGATAAACATGGTGGGCAGTAATCCTGGAAGCAATCAAAATGCCTCCAGTTCAGTGATTGTAAAGCCCCCATATACATTGGAGCGGAAAGTCAACCCAGAAACTTTGGGATTAAGTCACAATAAAAAACAGTTCCGATAAACAGTTTGGCCCACTATAAAACCATGGACAGAGTTCAGCAGGTGAACAGGAGGAGAAAGAGATATGATTCCTGGCATTTCAGACTGAATTATTGGAACTATCTATGAACGGTCTTTCTGGCTCCTGTGGGGAAATAAAACATCAAGTGCTGGTTTTATTCCAGATGTGACTAGAGGTGATTAGGAACACAGGAAGCTGCTTTATACTGAATCAGACAATTGGCCCATAACTCATACACTGGCTGGCAGAAGTGCCCCAGGATTTCAGATAGGGATCTCTCCCAAATCTACCTGGAGACACCAGGGGTTGAACCTGGGAGCTCCTGCATGTAAGGCTGCAAGACAGATGCTCTACCACTGAGCTGCATTCCTCCCCCTAGACTGAGGTGTAGATGTGTTCCAGACCTATTTCTCAGTCTGGACAAATGTATTAGGGCTGAAATGGACATTGCACAGAAGATCTGTGATCAGATCTCCCAACAAGTTTTAAACTTTTAAGACAGCCGCAGGAGTATGACGTATCCCATGAACCAACATGTTCCATCATGCTAGCACTAATAAACACATCAAAACACCAGAGAAGGAGGAAAACGGGGAGAGGAGCCTCTCCTCACTTCAGACATCTCTATTGCTGCTTGCTCCACCACACCTAGTAAAAAGGGAAGGGGATATATTTGTAGGGGTTGGGAACTACAAGGAATGTTAGGGCTGGGAAGGAATACTTCTAGGGGCAGGGGAACATAGCAGGGATGGCAGGGGGATTCTTCTGCAGCTCATGTTTTAATCCAAGCCAGTAAACAGTTTGGGTGTCAACCCCAGTAGATATCCACAAGGCAAGATGGTCCAGTGGGTTGCAGCACCATGGAAAGCTCCTAGTGACAAAATCTGGAGGTAGGACTGAGGTCTTCAGAGCCTCTTCACGTAGTACACCCTCCTAAACTCCATCCTATCACCTGATGAGTGTGAATCATTAAAAGGTCATCATCCTGGCTTGAAGGGTACTTCTTGTATTTTCCTGCCTAGCATACTCCCTGCACAACTGGGTGGGTGGATGGTATGGAAAGTACTAGACTCCTCAGGTGAATTGGGCTCAAGTGAAGGAATCATCTGAAGCAGAACCAGCATGACTTATACAAAGGCTAGTCCTTTCTCACTAACATACGGAGTACAAGAGTGTCAGTAAACATATAGATAGAAGTGATCCAACTGATATGATGCAAAAAGCTTCTGACAAATTACCCAACCAAAAGCTCCTGAGTAAGTCATGGAATAAGAGGAAAGGTCCAGTTGTGGATTAGTAATTGGTTAAAAAAAAAGAAAGAAAGCAGAGAGTAAGAATAAATGGACAGTTCTCCAAACCAAGAAATGTAGAAAGTGAAGTTCCCTCAGGGTCAGGATTGTGACCTGTGCTTTTTAACTTGTTCAGAAATTATCTAGAGTTAGCAGCAAGCAATGCTCCTTCCCTACCACTCTTCCTCTCTTTGTAATCTTCATGAAATTAAGTTGAAATGGGTCTGCAGGTTGCCTGCCCCAGATTTACAGAGAGTAAGTGTGGATGTGGGTGAATACAAGCAGAAACCTTCGCTTGTGAGGATGAAGTTTGTGTGTCTGGGCCTGGTTAGCCACCACAGACAGGTGGCTCCCAGAAGGTTATTCACAAGGGAATGTGTTCCTTGAGAGCTCTGACCTAGGAGATGGCAGTTCAGTGGCTTTGTATGTGGAACAAAAATACCAAAGAGGCAAGAGGAAAGCATGGGCTGAAACCGTTGAAGGAAAATGGAAAAACAAAGATTGTGTTTAAGTGGCCTCCTGGAGGATATATTTCATGCTCTCAGACTTTAGGCCTGTGATTAAATCCCATCTAGCTAATGGGGAGACTAACATTTAACTACCCACACTCCCACCCACCATATTTCAGTCTGGGAAAAGCCTACAGCCCATCAAACACTCAGAAGGATAGTCTGAAGGAGGCCCAGCTATCTAATTTCTCAGCTCCAAAGCATTATGCATACTTTGGAACAGCTAATTCTAAAGAAGAAGTTGGGTGGGTGGGGGTGGGGGATAAAGAAAGCTCTAAGTGACAGATCTTCCATGAGGCCCTAAATTAAGAGGACGTTTTATGAACAAAAAGCGTATCAAAGCTATATGTAAAACTGAAGCCAAAAAAGGGGGAATTAGATTGGATTTATATGCTTGCAGTGAGGAAGGCTAATCATTTATTGATAGCTGGGTCACTGGTAAAAATTTGGGTCTGCGGATAAGAGAGCTATTTTGCTATATAGGGAAAGGTCATGGTTCAGTGGTAGAGCACACATTTTGCATGCAAAAACTTCCAAGTTCTGTCTCTGGCATCTCCAGGGAAGGCTGGAAGAGACCTCTGACTGAAACCTTGGAGAGATGCAGCCAGTCAGTGTAGACTAGGGGTGAGGAGCTGTATCTGGCTGGCAACCCCTTGCAAATCTGACATGGCGATAGGGCTGCCAGCACAATGACAACAGGTGATTGGGGCACTTTGAAGTCCCCACATCATTGGGGCTTCAAAGCACCATGCAGAACTCAGTGCTTCAGAGCAATACTGATCGGTGGGCAAGCAAGCAGCACGTAAAGAGCTTTGCTTGGCAGCTGATCCAATGGAGCTTGAAGTCAGTGCCTAGCAGCTGATGGTTTTGCCTTCTGCTAGGATCGGCTGTGCAAGGGTTCCCAGTGGGGAACTCCATAGTACATCTGATCCCAGCTGGCTTGCTCACCACCAATCACAGTGTGGCAGCAAGCCTTCTGTGCTATTGCACAACCAGAAGTACACTTTAAGGCTCCTGGCAGTGCCTTGGCAGCTGCATCTCCACCTGCTCCTCATCTGACATTGCATGGTCAGGTGTAGGGGAGGCGGACATTGCTTACAGAAACCGGATTCATGGACCACATTGGAACCTGTGCCAGGTCTAATTAGGCCTGTAGGCTGCAGGTTCTCCACCCCAATGTAGACAATACCCAAGAAAGCACCCTAGAATCTTCTGAAACGCAAATGAAAGCTATGCTTGGGGGGAAAACGAATGGAATGACATGATGCACATGTATGGAAAATATGCAGGAGTCCTTGGCAGACAAATTTGTGGAAATGTATGGTACCCTATGAATGGGAAGTTTGAGAGGCACTGGGATAAGATATGCAAAAGACCTTGGATTCAAGAACTAGCAAAGCCATGTGTTCAGGAGAAAGAGTGTGCATCTGCTGCTGCTGCTGCTGCTCTTACTACAGAAAGTAAATCTAATAATATCCAAACTTTGATTAAAGTATGTCCCACATTGTTAAGAACTGTTGGAAGGCCCCAGAGACTTACAATTCCCTGAGATTCCTTGGAAGACAACCCTGGGAATTGCCACCCTGTGAGGGGAACAGGGTCTCCTAACAACTCTTAGTACTCTCAACTAACTCAAAATTCTTTGGGGGAAGCCATACCTGGTTAGAGTGGTATGATGCATCTTTAAATGTATCGTGCAGATGGGGCCAGAATCCTTCCCATGCCGCCTGTCAGTTTAATATCAATCAAACCTACTGAAAGCCTTTGTAACACATTGACCATATGTTGTTCTCACAGAAATACACACCTGCAAAGAACAACACAGCACTGAGTGAAAGAGGGGCCCTGACCTGCATCTCGCCTTTGCTTTATGCTGCTTTCAGTCTGTGTTTTCCATCCCAAGCCGTGTCTTTCTTCATCATTTCTTCTGTTTCTTTCACACAGTTTCAAGGGTTGCTGACAAACTTTGTTTTCCCTCTAGCTTCCTGTGAAGGGGAGGTATTTTGATTGATGAGCTGAGGTTGCAGTCGACCAGTGACAAATTCAAACTACAGCGAAACTTTACTTAACAATTTGGTAATTCGTTTAGTGGAGAAAGGGCTGGAATGTTATTGTGGGAAATGGTTTCAAGACGGCCTTCATGTAAATTCAAAGGGCCACGGCTGGGGAATGGAGCGGGTAGGAGGCTCAGAATGATGTCACTTGGACTTCTTTCTAGAAACTTCCATGGAAATATTATGTTAGCACAGGACCTTTTTTGGATAGATCCAAAGGGATAAATTTAATGATGACGCAAATGTAAATTGAGGGGAAAGGGCTCTAATTTCTACTCAGAACTAGAAAGACTCTTAAATCCAATTCATCCCTCCATCACAGCTTTTTACAGTCACTCTATAGACAAATGGGGTGTCCTTTAAATGACCCCCAACTTCCTCTACCAGTATTTATATCTGTTTACAGTGGCAAAGGATGATTAAACCTAACTTACATTTTCAATAAAAGCTGGAAGTCTTGTAACTTTCTTACAAGCCTTGTCATTTCAAGTTTTTACAAGGCTACAAGGCTCCCCCCACAAAATGGCAAAACCTGCTATGAGAGCCTTAGCTTTAGCCATGTTGACATCAGATGTTGTGATAAAAGAGCTTCAGGAATATACCAGTATTCTTGCAACAATCTGTTAGATAAGCTTTTGTTCAGGATACTTAAGTCTCTCACTGAGGAGAGCTCAGAAATATTCTTGCAGATTTTTATTCAGTGAAACAGCCCAAACCAAAGTCTAATTAAAATACCCCTCCCCCATTTGAATATAGTTGTAGTTTTTGAAAATCCAGCCTGATTCTAGGAGCAGATTTCAGTGGAACTAATGCTAGGTACATAGGGTTCCAGCCATGCAATTGAAACCCCTCATTATGAAGGTCAGTGAAAATCCATTGAAGACTCACTATGTTTCATAAGGCTGGAGATACCCATCTCAAAATTAAAAATATGGGCTTTCAGATTATACAGTACTTTGAATGAACCACAAATATGTTCCATTTCATTTTCTTATCTTGCCTAAAAGGTGGTTGCAATTTGTGCATGTCCTTCTTTGTAAGCAAAAAGTCCCAGTTATCCAATGTAATGAGATTCAGAGTTGTGCAACTAAACAGGGAAAGATAAATACAGAGGTTTCCCTTTGACTAATCATTTACTAGCTAGAGAAACAAAAAACAGAATGTTATTGATCTCAACTAAACAATAGGTTATTTTTTATCTATTAATAATATCACCCAAGTATGGATTGCTGAAGATGATCAGAAATACTTTTGGGGGGGCGGTCATTTATTTATTACATGTGCATTGTGCTTTCAGATTACTTGGAAATGGTAGAACCTTGGGTTAGGCTCATAATTGGGTTCATAAAGCTATTTCCCCAAACAACTCATCTGGTTATTCTAATCTCAATTATGAATCATATTGAACCTTTCCACGCAATCTGTCTGATCCCTTTCCTAATTCGTCCCATGAATCTCCAAAGCCTTCCCTCCCATTCACTTACCTTGATTATGGTTGTTTTACTTGTGTGATTATTTATA